TATGTATCTCAAATTTGGTATCCTTATCATATTGATTATCTGGATTAGGGCATGACTCTCTCTCTATTTATATAACATATTTTTTCTTCCATCCAAAAGACACAATCAAGAAAAGAAGAAAAGAAAAAGAAGAGTTGAGACAACATCACAATTTTTTTGAGAAGATATATAATATGGGTTCAGTAAGTGTTATTCATGTTATTTGTGCTTTCTTTATCATTGGAGTTGTGATGAGTGGGATTTGTAGTGCTACCAGAGAAGTTCCAACTGAAAGTACCATCCGACCGTCACATGAGACCCACCGAATCTCTCCCTCATTTCATTATCGAATCCTTAGTGAATGTTGTATATACAATGTTCGTCTTTGTTGCGATTGGAAACAAGGCATTGTCAACTAATCGGGCCTCTGAACTAGATAAACAAGCAGTTGTCCTATCTTTATGATAATTTATCTAATGAATAAATCAAGTTACATTTTGCTTTATTAATCGTTTCCTTGTTAATTCACAACTTTTCTTATTCTGTTTTTATTTTTTATAAAGTTACTTATGGTTGAAATAGTTTCGACATGTAAATGTTTGCCTCACAATGCCAACTAGCTAGGGCTGATTATTGGTTATCGATTAGTTGATTAATCAATAAATTAAACCAAAAAGCCTATTGTTCGTCTAAACGATAATCAATAATTAAGAATGTACTCAATGCCAGTTTGGAGGGGTATTGATTTAAACGTGAAACTGAAAACTAACTAGACATTATGTTTTCCACTTTCTCCATGGAGTAAACCTCCTGATACGAGCCTAATTCGAGAATCCACTCAAACTTGGAGTAAAATACCAGAGTTGCACGAGTCGAACAATTTAGCAATTTTCACCTTTCTTAATAACACGAAAAATAAAGATAAATTGCGAAAATCGGATCAAACAAATCCAAAATCGTGAGAAGGGCCAATTGGTATATGAAACTAATAAAAAAAATCCCGAACCCTTGGATAAGGCTAATCAATATCGTCAAACTCTTAGCATCTATAAGAATTTAATGATATCAGTGTTCCATATACCAATTTGCCCTTCTCACGAGTTCAGATATGTTTGATCGACTTTCGCAAGTTATCTTTATTTTCGTGTCATCAAGAAAGGTGAAAGCCACTAAATAGTTCGACATGTGAAACTCTGGTATTTTGGTCCAAGTTTGAGTGAATTCTCTAATTATCGATCCGCCACCCAGCTTAACCGTGAAGGCCTTAATAGAATGTCCATTTCTCCCTCGGAGGATACTCCCGTCGTCGATCTCCCATAAGCTAAGATGACAGATCCATCGATGTTCAATGCAACCCAGCCCTCCGGAGGTCTTTGCCAGCTAATGAGGCTCGGAACGCGTTCCTGACCTCCCCCAATGATGCTTTGAGCTCTGTTAAATGCAAGTTTTGTTTGCTGCCGCAATAGGTTCGCCTACTTCGCTAAAAGCTCCATCAACGCTATGACCATTTTGAAAACCCATTCATTCCTATTCCTCCACAATTTCCAGCACATGATAGCGAACAGGGAGGCCTCCACAACTCTACCCTTGCCTCCTAGATAGTGCATATGATCCATTTTACAATATCCACTTCAAAGAACAGCTCATCCGGCTCGCCATCAAGAAGATGCGACCACGCTGCCCTCGCATAGGGGCACTCTCTTATCACAGGAGCCACCATTTCTGCCTCTTCTCCACAAACCGGGCACGTGTCCACCTGAGTCAGATGCCGGCGCCGTCTTTCCGCATTCGACAGGAGACGATTATGCAAGACTAGCCAAAAGAAAGTCTTTGTTCTTTGGGGTCCCCGAATTCTCCACGCCTCCTTCCAAACAGGGTGCGTCTGTCCCACATCATCCCTTTCCTCAGTAAGTTCATAAGCTGTCTTCAGGGTGAATAAAATCGAGTCCGAAAAATGTCAGATAGGCCCATCCTTATCGACCGCCTCTGGGACGGGATGAAGGCGTAGCTGACTGATCAAGTCGTCTGGAAAAAAGGCACCAGCATATGCCAAGTTCCACTCCGTGTTAAGAACAAGATATGCAACTGTTAATTCATTCGCCGCATCAGGGAGATCAGGTGAAAATGAGGCCAATAGAGGACCATCTTGAAGCCATCGGTCTGTCAAAAAACGAGCTTGCATACCACTTCGGACATTCCACATTTTTGCTTCGCGAATCAAGTGTAAGAATCTCAGTACTCCTCGCCATAGGTTCGACATTCGCTCTTTATCTCTAGCTCGCCACCCCGTCGCTGTCAGTTTAAGATATTTTCCTTTTATTACTCTAGACCAGAAGCTGTCTTCCTCCATAAATAGGCGTCAAGCAATCTTGATCATGAACGCATCGTTCACGCGGGTGGCATTTCGTAATTCAGACCGCCCTCTCCTTCGGTCGACAAATAGTATCCGAGTCTATCAAGTGGACCTTCCGCTCCTGCTCGGAAATCCCCCAAATAAATCCTCGAATTTTCTTGTCTATGTACTCACGAACAAATGTCGGAAGAAATGAAGTCTGCATAGTATAAGCCGACAATGATGACAAAACAGACTGGGCCAAAGTAATTCTAGCTGCCAGAGAGAGAGACTTGACCTTCCAGCCTGCTAGTCGAGCATCAAAATGATCAATAAGCTCTGTGTAGGTTGCTTTGGACACCCTATCGTGGATCACTAGAACTCCCAAATAATGTCCCAAATTCAAGGTAGCAGGGATATCGAGGGCATTACTAGTGATCCATATTTGATTACCTGTATATCAGTAGGGAGAAAGCACGATTTGCTTTCAATTCTACGTTGCTTATCATACATGACAGAGAGGTTGAGATACCATGCATACATTGAAATGACCTTAAAAAACAGACAACATAATTATTTTTAATGGATATTTAAAACATATACAAAAAGTTAAAGATAGAATGTACCTCATCTTCTAGGTACTCGTTAGGCAGCAAGCTCAACAATGAGCTACGAGTACAGGACTGGGAACCATTTTTTACTAGTATCTTTTCGGGAGCAAGATCTTCCACGAACATGTAATAGGCCAGTCCAACCTCTTCTGAAGTCAAATGCATGTTACTGGTGATAGGAAACTTCATTACAACCTGACACAAAAAGTCAAATACTATAAAATCTGATATGCTGCCTAATACTAAGCATTTATGTAACAGTACCACGACTACCTCAGATATGGTTGTCACATCAGGCTCGTCATCATCAATGATAATGACTTCAGAAATTGGTGTCGCATTGACGTCTCTGAACTCAAGCCTCCTCTTTGTAAGGTTGCGGGAACCACTCTGTCAATTTTTAGCAATGGATAATAAAGAAAACTTGGTATAAAGTCTAATTAGTTATTTTTAATGTGGGTCACTACCACTGTATTATCATTACAGGATAAAAGAGATATACAAATCAAGGATCACTGTATTTGAACGAAACCTAAACAAAATTAGCAAGAAAGCTAATGAGCGACAACCTAAGAAAACAAGACAATGACCCACCAAACTAGATGACAAAGCAATGAAAAAAAAAACAGACGATGATAAGCCAAAAGCAATCAAACCATGAACATAAAAACCAGAAAAACTAGATGACAAAACAATGAACAAACAAACCGACAATACTAATAGTGAGCAACAACTACGCAACCAGAAACAACCAAACCATGTGAAAAAGCAGGAAACAGTATGATTAAAGGTGTGTAGAACATAAAGGAAGAAAATAAATAAATAAATAAACTCTTCAACTTCTCAAACCTTGCGTTGTGAAGAATATTTTGTCATTTTTGCTCTACTTTCAGCATCGATACCTTTAGCCAGCCTCTTGTCCCTAATTTCAATTGTCATACAAACAATTATCAGCAATAATAAACACAAATAAATCTGGGCAACGATGAATTAGAACTAACACAACAGGAGCAGATGAGAATCGTGAAGGAGGTAAAATAGCAATGGCCATTACCCAATTTTTGGATCCATGGTTCGGTAGAACTTTCACTAAGAGGAGAACACGGTGGAAAAACTGCAAAACAGAATTTTATATAGGTTTGTGTAAAAGCCAGCAGCTAATCTAACCTCATAAAGCCGAAACATCAATAAAATTGAGAAATTGGATGATAACTATCTAACAACAGTAGAGGGAACCTTAGTCGCCTAACACAGCTGGAAAGCAAGGTTGAGAATATCGCAGAAAAAAGAAGAAGGCAAAAACACTTATAAATAAGGCAAAATAATGGGGTATTCATCCAATTAAAGGAACTTCCTCTTTCTCTAACTAAAGAGGCTTACTAATTAAATGATCTTTCCTTTTATTTTGCAACCATGCACCAGTTACCTTATACGCACCAGTTACCTTATCAGCATCATCATCATCGCACTTCTTCTGACCTTCATGCTAGCTCATGGCGCTGATCTCCACCACACCACTCTGGTTGGTACCTTGCTAACAGAAACGTCTTCTGCTATGGCTCTGTATTAATTCGATTCTGACTGCAGGGAGATGGTGACGAGAGCTTGGGAGAGAGATGTGAAGAGGGCGTTGGAGAAGAAGGTGAAGAGTGCTTGACCAGAAGAACCCTCCAGGCCCATCTTGATTACATCTACACACAACCTCATCCACCCCACCTCCCCTAGTCTCCTAACAAACTAGCTCGTAGCTAGCTAGCTAACGGCAGCTGTGTCATCCTGATCTTTCTATTCTGATCCAAGCAAAGCAATCTCCACAAACTGCGGCATGATCATACACAATCCTACATGTCACACCAGTCGTCAAGATGAAGAAACGGGGAATGCAGCATTCACATGTTCGAAACCATAAAAATGAAATGGAATAGAAATGAAACCCTGAGCTTGGATCATGTACTAAAAATCAAGGAATGTAGACGAGAGAAAGAGTGAAAGAGGTACATACAAATGCTACTTGGTTTTGTCTTCATTACCAATAACGTGGTTTCATATCAATAGATGAGTTCCCAATCACAACTTTTTCAAGCAGGCAACATCACCCTGGCGCCTCCCACAACATGTAAATACAATGTCAGGCAAATGGTAACAATAACAGAAGACTTAGAACCAACATATCGAACAACCTGAAGCCCTCTTTCTACTACCCCATCATGAACCACATCAGCACCTCTCTTCAACAACTTCCACAACAAAACCTCCACAATCGATCTCACCATCTCGAATGTCACCCTTCCAGTAACGTCCAGCACAAACTTCTTGTTACTTGGCACTGCCAATGTCGACGAAACCTGCTTCATCCATCCGTTGCTCTCAAACGAATCCTCTTCCGCTTTCAGGTCTCCATTCTTTCCACCTTCTCTTTCAACAATGGAACAACAAGCAGATTCCCCTAGATAGGTGCTTGAGCCTGTTGTTGTCAAGACATGATGAGAAGTTTTCACAAGGGTTTCCAGGGACCCGTTGCAGACATCAACCAGCATGTCTCTGACATCGGCTCGATGATTCGGGTTGGTAAGGCCGGCAAAGAACTGATCATAGCTGTTGATGTGGATCGTCTTGTCGAGAAAAATAGTGACTGCAGTGCTCACAAACTTCTTACACAATCAGCTATAAGCTCCTTACTCTGCTCATTACAAACCACACTAACCCACCCGGGGACTTCAGCTGAAGAAGACGTCTTTTCGCTCTCTTGGCCATCTCTACCAGCTGCATAGAATCCCAGAACCAGATTTCTGGCAAAACTTTCGACCACAACAGAGACGAAACCAGTCCCGGCTTCAGAGAAAAGCTTCTCATTCCCTGGAAATGAAAATTGAAGTTGTACTCTTAACATCCTTAGCAAACCATTGTTTCATCTTATTAGCCTCTAAATACGAGAAATTTCTTCTGGGATTCAAAAGAGAGAGGGAAAAGATTGGGAAAAATCAAACCTTTCGGGGCAGGCGGCGGCGGCGGAGCTTAGCAATCGACTCCATTGTTGCCAAATACACCTCCGATTGCAATCCCGACCACTGTTCCGGTCGATATCGACGAGTTGGAGGGAGGAGAGGAAGAGTTTGGCGTCGAACCCTAGGAAGGTGGCGGCGGCGGAGGAGCGTAGCAAGCGACTCCATTGTCACCAAATACACCTCCAATTGCAATCCCGACTACCGTTTCGGTCGATGTCGACGAATTGGAGGGAGGAGAGGAAGAGTTCGGCGTCAAATCGCCGGAAGATGATGGCGGCGAGCGGGAGGACGGAGGTGTGCGGATAAGGGGTAGACAACGTAATCAGCATCAGCGTGAAGGGGTGACCGGGACGGGGGTAGACGGCAGGTTCGACGATGGTGAACATGAGAGGAGAGGGTTCGACAATGGGTGCTGAATTTGTTTTTTTTTTATGGATATGGCGTATGGGTGGGGAAGTTCATGTTGAAATGCTAGAGATGTTTTTATTTTCTTATTTGAGCCTTTTATAGATGTTGAAGTCACGATATCAAGTTTTGGGATGGTTTCTGTGTTTGATGGAAATGTTTTGGCTGTGTAAGTTATGATTAAAAGAAATTAGGTATTGTACCATGAAAATAAATGAAATAATTTGTTGGGGGATTAAAGTAAACATATGAAAATGTAAAAGAATCAACTAAACAATTTTAATTTGTAAATTATAAATAAATTTATTATATTTAATACAGGCCATCAGATTAAATCAACGGTGCAAAGATCTGGAGCATACTATGCGTCTGGACCATACGAGTGTGACCCATATATATATAGACCATATTATATATGGCAATTTAATGTGAGATATATAATATTAATTTAACTACATTCTCTTATTTTAGGTAATTAAATCTTCCATATATATGTATCTCAAATTTGGTATCCTTATCATATTGATTATCTGGATTAGGGCATGACTCTCTCTCTATTTATATAACATATTTTTTCTTCCATCCAAAAGACACAATCAAGAAAAGAAGAAAAGAAAAAGAAGAGTTGAGACAACATCACAATTTCTTTGAGAAGATATATAATTTGGGTTCAGTAAGTGTTATTCATGTTATTTGTGCTTTCTTTATCATTGGAGTTGTGATGAGTGGGATTTGTAGTGCTACCAGAGAAGTTCCAACTGAAAGTACCATCCGACCGTCACATGAGACCCACCGAATCTCTCCCTCATTTCATTATCGAATCCTTAGTGAATGTTGTATATACAATGTTCGTCTTTGTTGCGATTGGAAACAAGGCATTGTCAACTAATCGGGCCTCTGAACTAGATAAACAAGCAGTTGTCCTATCTTTATGATAATTTATCTAATGAATAAATCAAGTTACATTTTGCTTTATTAATCGTTTCCTTGTTAATTCACAACTTTTCTTATTCTGTTTTTATTTTTTATAAAGTTACTTATGGTTGAAATAGTTTCGACATGTAAATGTTTGCCTCACAATGCCAACTAGCTAGGGCTGATTATTGGTTATCGATTAGTTGATTAATCAATAAATTAAACCAAAAAGCCTATTGTTCGTCTAAACGATAATCAATAATTAAGAATGTACTCAATGCCAGTTTGGAGGGGTATTGATTTAAACGTGAAACTGAAAACTAACTAGACATCATGTTTTCCACTTTCTCCATGGAGTAAACCTCCTGATACGAGCCTAATTCGAGAATCCACTCAAACTTGGAGTAAAATACCAGAGTTGCACGAGTCGAACAATTTAGCAATTTTCACCTTCCTTAATAACACGAAAAATAAAGATAAATTGCGAAAATCGGATCAAACAAATCCAAAATCGTGAGAAGGGCCAATTGGTATATGAAACTAATAAAAAAAATCCCGAACCCTTGGATAAGGCTAATCAATATCGTCAAACTCTTAGCAACTATAAGAATTTAATGATATCAGTGTTCCATATACCAATTTGCCCTTCTCACGAGTTCAGATATGTTTGATCGACTTTCGCAAGTTATCTTTATTTTCGTGTCACCAAGAAAGGTGAAAGCCACTAAATAGTTCGACATGTGAAACTCTGGTATTTTGGTCCAAGTTTGAGTGAATTCTCTAATTAGGGTCATATTTAGTGTTATCAGCAGTCCGATTCAAACGTGAGGGAGAAGACAAGGTTTCTTCGAAATCTTAAATGTCAAGAAAGCAAATCTTGGACGTTCTAAGGGTTTCTTGTGCGGCAAGAAGGCGATCTTGGAGAGAGCATTTGTGGGAGTCTTTTTGCACAAGAAATCATTGAGGACCAAATACAAAACTTGGCAGAAATAATGGAGCAGATGTCAATACAATTGGCGACCGTGCTTCAGCGCCAAACCATTGCCGACGAGACGATTAATGCAATAGAAGGCGGGGACAAGAGCAACCTCTACCTCGGGATCAAGAGCAACCCCAAACCATCGATAATGCTAACCATAACCCTAGGGATCGACGAGAAAAAAGAAGGATAGGACGAGTTGCTCAATATCCAATGTATGAGCGTGTTCGTCGACATAGGCCATTGGAAGGGCATCGTGGTGCAATGAGAGGCTTCCCCTTCTATGACGAGGAAGGTTATGAAGCATATGAGATGATGGAGGCGCTTACCTACGAGATGATGATGATGATGATGATGATGATCTATGAGGCCTAAAGGTAACTATTTCCTTGTTTAAAGGAATAGTTGATCCAGAAGCATATCTAGATTGGGAGCGCAAGATGGAGCTGATTTTTGATAATCAAAACTATTCAGAGAAGAGGAACGTGGCAATGGATTCTGTCAAGTTTACGGATTATGCATAGGTTTGGTGAAATCAATTGTGCACATAGAGGAGAAGAGATAAGCGCAGGCCTATTGAAACGTGGAATGATATGAAAGGAATCATGAGAGATCAATTTGTTCCACATATCATCAATGAGAGATGCACCCATCGTTGCAATTTCTTCGATTAGGTAACAAGGGTTTTGAGTATTAATATTGAGAGATGGAGTTGTTAATTTTTCAAGATCATGTTCATGAAGATAGGGAGGCTACCATAGCTCGATTTCTACATGGTCTTTACCAAGAGATTTGTAATATCGTGAAAATTCAGCAATTTTTGGAGATAGAAGACTTTGTGGCTATGTGAAGCAAGGTGGAGAGGCAACAGTAGAATAAGAGGTATCTACCCTCTACAAGTACTATTTGACCTACAACAACACCTAAAACAACCCCTAAGCCGAGTTTTCCTACAAGCGAAGCACCAAAACTCGGGCAAAAGGTGGAGGCTCTAAACCCTAGCACCAAACAGGGTTCATCTTCTGGTGAAATTCAATGTTGTAAGTGCCAAGGGCGAGGGAATATGGCAAACCAATCCCCAAACAAGAGAACATTGATATTATTGGAGAATGGTGAATATGGTGAAGAAGGGGAAGCACCAGAAGAGAAGGGTATTTCTGATTCTGAGGTAGATGAGACACTAGAGATGGAGACACCTTAAAGAAATTGTGTGTAGTTCGAAGTGTTTCGAACATCCATCCAAGGGAAGAGCTTGAGCAACTGTAGAGCCTCCTCCATACGAGGTGCATGGTGAATGGGAAGCTCCTTTCGGTTGTGATTGATGGAGGAATTTGCACCACTGTGGTAAGTGTGAGTTGTGTGAAGAAGTTGGGGTTGAAAACAATGGTTCATCCAAACCCCTACACTCTTAAATGAATCAATGAGGATGATTCGATTAAGGTGGCAAAGCAAGCCTTGCTAAAGTTTACCATTGACAAGTACAAGGATAAAGTAACGTGTGATGTGGTGCCTATGCAAGCGGCGTATGTCTTACTTGGGAGGCCATGACAATTTGACCGAAGTGCTCAACATGACTACGTCACCAACAAATACACGTTGTATCACTAGGGTAAAAAGATTGTATTGAAGCCTCTATCTCCTAGAGAAGTTTATGAAAATAAATTACAAATGCAACAAATGCGAGAAGAGGAAAAGAAGGCTCAATCCGCTAAAGGTGCAAAGAAGGGTTCGAGTAGCTTAGAGTCCAAGACATTGATGCTAGCTCAACAAGGAGATACTAAGGAAGCCCTCTATGATCGAGTGCCTATGATTATCGTCTTATACAAGGGATTGCTACTCAACCAAGAGTTGGTTCATGAGGTACCACCTAAGGAACGAGTGGTGCTAGAAGAGTTTGAGGATGTCTTTCCAGAAGAAGAACCAAAGGTATTATCTCCAATCTGCGGGATAGAGCATCTAGTTGACTTCATTCCTGGGCTATCATTCCAAACAAGGCAGCCTATAGAACGAATCCACAGGAGACAAAGAAGTTTCTAAGACAGATAGATGAGCTTATGGAGAAAGGACATGTTCGTTAAAGCATGAGTCCTTATGCAGTTCCTGTCATCCTCGTGCCAAAGAAGGACCGTGAAGGATTTGTGTTGATTGCCGAGCAGCCAACCAAATAAATATTAAGTATCATCATCCTTCTGCTTATGCAGCTCCTACTTATTGTTCAGAACCCTCTCTTTCA